CTGGAAGAGTAGCACGCACTTTTAACTACCAAGCCATCTCTCCAACCCCTTATTTATATATTTGATACAGGGTGTCATACAGCCCAGACTGGCCTCAAACTCATTACATACCTAAGGATGACCCTGTCTCTGATTTTCCTGCCTCCACCTCCTGATTGCAGACTTAATGAGCCAGCCCTGCAATACAGTCAAGCAAGGGAAAGACCTCCAGGAATCAGGGCTTGGTGAATGCTTAGTGCCTAAGACTGCTGAACCTCCCTATCCCACCTCAGGCCAAACGACCCTTCTGTTCTTTGCATTCTGGGACCAGGTGCATGCTCAGGGCATGTGTGTGTTACTCTCCCAGCTGAGCTTCACAACGTCCTGTCAGGGCTCATGAGCAATGGGCACAGGTCCTGCAGAACATGTTGAATGGATGGTCACCTGCATCCCAAGTGGTCCCCTTACCCCCAGACATGTTCTCAGGTCTCAACCCAAATCTTTCCAGGAGACTGACACAGTCCTAGACCTCTTCACTCATGGGGGACTGCCACTGAAGTGTCATAGTTCAGTTTTTTTATTTATGTGTGTGTACACACCTGTGTGAGTTTGTGTGTACCAGGTACTAGAAGCCAGAAGTGAGCATCAGATTCCCTGGAACTGGAGTTACAAGTGGTTGTGAGCCACCTGGTGTGGGTGCTGGGAACTGAACCCAGGTCCTCTACTAGAGCAATAAATACTCTTAACCACTGAGCCTTCTCTCCAGCCCCCCCCTTTTTTGTTTGGTTTGGGGGTGAGGTTAAGACAGGGACTCCCTGGAGCCCCAGCTGGCCTGGAACTATGTAGCCCAGGCTAGCCTCAAATTTACAGCAATCTTCCTGTCTCAGTCTCCCAACTGCCAGGGTTACAAGTGTTACCGCCATGCCCACTTCTTGTTGCTCATTCCACCTCAGTGTCTTTGTCATTCTCAGACGCCGTCTCCCTCCCAACCTCACAATCTCCCAGACCCTCCCTCCCTTTCACAAATATTTAGTGTCTCTCACATACATCTTCCTTAGTCTGTTATTGACACTACCCTACACACACACACACACACACACACACACGCCATCAGCAACAGCAGGCAAAGCACTCATGAGTCTGTGCCCTTGAGCCAGGCTTCAGGGCACAACTGTATTTCATGGAGGGCTGGAGAGATGGATCAACGGTTAAAAACACTGGCTGCTCTTGCAGAGGGCCTGGGTTCAGTTCCCAGCACTCATGAGGTAGCTAACAATTGTCCCAAACTCCAGTTTCAGGGCATCTGTCATCCTCTTCTGGCCTCCATGCACATTACATACACACAGTGCACCTACATACATAGAGGCAAAACACTTACACCCATAAAAAATTAATAAGTGTACTGCATGTGGCACAGATGAACATACCTTATAGGCATGTGTGCAGAATTTGTGTGAAAGTCTGTTCCTGGCCCTTTACTTTTTTTTGGGGGGGGGGTCTTTTTGAGACAGGGTCCTCTTGCAGCCCCAGCTGGCCTTGAACTCACTATGTAGACCAGGCAGGCCTTGAACTCAGATCCACCTGCCTCTGCCTCCCAAGTGCTGGGACTACAGGCGTGCACCACCATGCAAGGCCTGGCCCTTTACTTTTATGTGTTTTACTCATGCATGCAATGCCCAGAAGAGGATGTTGGATTCCCTTGCACCGGAGTTAAGGGTCAGTTGTTAGTCGCCATGTGGGTGCTGGGACCCAAACCTGGGTCCTCTGCAAGAGCAGACAGTGTTCTTAATCTTTAGCCATCTCTCCAGCCCCATTTCTGGTCCTTTGTATCTCATTTGTGTCTCATGAATAACTCAGTCTGAACTTGGACATGCTCATCAGTGGGGGGACCAGAGCAGCGTTTGTCTCTGGCCACTTCAGGCACTGTGGAGGCAACTGTGACAGGAGCTGGCCTGGACACCTGTCTCCTGGGAAGGATGTCAAGAGATACACAGAAATACAAGTGACCAAATGTACATGGAGCTATGAACAGATGCCCATGTCAGGGGGAGCTATCAGATGGGGGCAGGGATGGGGGGGTCCTGGGCCATCTTCCAGGCTGGAAGTCTGACTTTCACACTGATCCCTCTGTCCCAAACACCACCAGGTCATTGCAACTCATGACAAGGGACTGGAGATGCTGCTGCTGGAAAATGAATATGGAGATTCCAAATACCAGAAATTTAGGGTATTTGGTGAAGTATGACGGCTAGTAACCTGACTTCACTGCTGAGGTCTGAAGGATTTGATGAGGAATCAAAGCACTGGGAGCAATTGCAAGCAGAGGGTAATGCATGTGCAAAGGGCCTGTGGTAGGGCAGTGGCAGTCACTGGTCTTGTTGTAAAGTGATATGAGGCCCAGGAGCCTGCAGAGAAAGGGCAGCATGGCTGAAATAAAGTCACTGTTCCAGAGTTTGACAAAGTTCAGGGGCTCCCAGCTGAGAGAAGGAGTCCAGCGAGGTAGAGGGAACCTGGCCTCTGAGATGGACAGACATGGACAGCAATGATGACCCGTGCCCGGAACAGCAGGGTCTACCTCCACTGCAGACAAACAAGTGGAGAATGCCACGAGGAACCACTCTCAGAGCAAGTGTGACAGAGGATGCAAAAGAGCAGCTGGAAGAAAGCTCAGCAACTAATAACCAGAGCAGACAAAGCTGGGGCTGGGAGCGGCGTTCCATGAGAGAGCACTTGCCTAAAACTCACCAGTGTGGAAGGGTTGAGGTTTGGCTCAGCAGAAGAGCATTTGCCTAGAATCCCCCAATGAGGGGCTGGGGGTGTGGCTCAGTGGTGCAGTGCTTGCAGTGCTTGACAACCATGTGAAAGTCCCTGGGTTCCATCCCCAGCACTGAGGTAGGAAAGAAAAAAATAAGCAGCCTAGTTCAAAAGGAACCAGAAACTGAGTATCTGACTCCTGGAAGCTACCCTTCTGGCACCACTTCCTCCAGGAAACGACTCAGACACTTTCCCACCTTAAAACCAGTTTTAAGCAGCTAAGTGGCTAACGCCAAACTTCCCATGTGCTTGCTTCCTCCAGCCACCAGGGGGCGCCCCAGCCGAGCTGGACCGACTGGCTGTGTCAGTTTCTCCACTGTCCAGTCCTGTGTATTCCACTCTGATTCCTGGTGTGCAGAGTAGGAACTAGGGAAAGCTACATCGAGACTAATGTGGTGAAAGAAGCCAGTTTGCACAGGAAGACTGGAAGCCCTTTCTCACCTTGGCATCATCTAACGAACAGAGCATGCGCCAAACCAGATCTCTGTGAGTTCAAGGCCACCCTCATCTACATAGTGAGTTCCAGGACAGCTGGGGCTACAGGGAGACCCTGTCTCAAAAAAGATTTGGTTCCATCCCCAGCACTGAGGTAGGAAAGAAAAAAATAAGCAGCCTAGTTCAAAAGGAACCAGAAACTGAGTATCTGACTCCTGGAAGCTACCCTTCTGGCACCACTTCCTCCAGGAAACGACTCAGACACTTTCCCACCTTAAAACCAGTTTTAAGCAGCTAAGTGGCTAACGCCAAACTTCCCATGTGCTTGCTTCCTCCAGCCACCAGGGGGCGCCCCAGCCGAGCTGGACCGACTGGCTGTGTCAGTTTCTCCACTGTCCAGTCCTGTGTATTCCACTCTGATTCCTGGTGTGCAGAGTAGGAACTAGGGAAAGCTACATCGAGACTAATGTGGTGAAAGAAGCCAGTTTGCACAGGAAGACTGGAAGCCCTTTCTCACCTTGGCATCATCTAACGAACAGAGCATGCGCCAAACCAGATCTCTGTGAGTTCAAGGCCACCCTCATCTATATAGTGAGTTCCAGGACAGCTGGGGCTACAGGGAGACCCTGTCTCAAAAAAGATTTAAAAAAAAATACTAAACAGGGAGTGGTGGGAGGCTTTGGGGGCTCCTTCCTCAGCTCTCTAGCCCGCTTCTATTATGGTCATGACTTTCCTTCCTTAGCAAGCTGTCAATTTCTATTCCATGCCTAACTTAAAAGCTCGACCATTCCTCCATCTCTCCTGGGTATTGCAGTGCCTTTCACTTAGCCAGTATGAACTATTTTTATTTTAAACGCTAACATTTCCTTGAGCTTCCTTCTGAAACCATTTCTAAACTTTATTAATGAGACTAAATCCCCGAAGAGAAATCTCAGCTTCCCTGGTAAAACTAGTGCCTCAGTCCTACCAGACAAACAAGCAGAGACCTCATATCTACAGAGGGAGCAGGGGCAGGAAGATGCCTGTAATCAGCAGTCAAGAGACTGAGGCAGGCGGATCAGAAATTCCAGGCCAGCCTGAGCTGCTACTTAGGAAGACCCCGAATCAAAAAAAAAAAAAAAAAAAAAAACAAAAAACAAGAAAAAAAAAACCCGCCCGCCCCGGGGGGTTCATTGAGAAAACCCCAAAAAAAAAAAAAAAAAAAAAAAAAAAAGTCAAAACACTCAGCCAGGTGTGGTGGTGCATGCCTTTAATTCCAGCACTCAGGAGGCAGAGGCAGGTAGATCTGTATGAGATCAAGACCAGCCTGGTCTACAAAGGTAGATCCAGGTCAGCTGGGGCTACCTGGGAGAAACCTTGCCTTTAAAGAAAAAAACAAAAAACAAAAGCCAAAACAGTTGGGTGTGGTAGGACAGGCCAATAGTCCCAGCAAAGGCAGATTGAGGCCAGCCTGGTCTACATAACAAGTTCCAGGCCAGCTTGGTGGGATATAGAAAGACCCTGTCTTTAAAAAAAAAAACAAACCTAGCAGACAAGAGGGAGGCTCATCACTCAGCAAAGGCCTCAATCAGTAGTCCATGGAAACCACCCAGTTTATCGTGACCAGGGGCCAAGTGCAGGTTCAAGTCTTGTCGATTAAAAATCTGACCTCAGTGCCCAGCTGTCTCTTCAAGATTTTCCTAATCTACGTTGCTCCCAGTCTGCAAACCATGAGGTCACCTCCCTCAGGACCCTGACACACAACCCCACACTAAAATTTGAGGGACCATATCCATGCTGAGAGATTCTGGAAAAATTTATACAAAAAGTTAAAACTACAATGTTCTTACCACCTCAACTCTAACAATGTGGTACATAATACATTTGCAGTCTGCTGCGATGTTATGAAACCACCACCTTGGTCCAAATTTTTAGAAGAAAACTATATTCTTTTAAAGAAAATGCAAATATCTTCCAAGGGGGGGACTTAATTTAAGTCAAATCATTTCGTTTTGTGGTGGGGCCTGATACACAGTGGGCATGCACAGGTGCTCCCCCCAGTCAGGTGGGCAGAGCCCCCCACCCCCATCGTGGTCCAATCCTGCGGCTGGAATTGTGAGGCCGAGGATGCCTGGGCCACCCTCAAGCCAGGAGCCAGAGATGGGGGGAAATAGTTTCTGAAATGACCCATCAAGGCCAGGGGCCAAATCATGTTCCCAAGATTTCGCTCCTGGCTCTGTAATCCCACACAAATAAGGCATCCTGCCCACCCTCCTGCAGGCCCTGACCTTCGGCTCCTTCCCAGTTGAGAGAGGCAGCACCTGCTGAGAACTAGCTGAGGAAGGAGACCCACAGCCTGTCCCAGGGCCTCAGGGTGCAGGGGGTCCTGGAACCCAAAGCCGGGTGATGGTTCCCAGCGAAGGGAAGTGGCTTGAGGAGGCACGAAGGTGAATAAATAGAAATCGCTTCTTCGCGGGGGTCCAGCCCCTGCGGAAGGGACAGCAGCTCGGTGGGAGGTGGGGCAGGAAGGTAGACACTCGTGGGCCACCTCTCCAAACCGCCCTCCCACACCGCCCGCGGCTGCTGCTCAGAGCTCAGTCACGTGCACAGCCGGTGAGGGAAGCGGGCCAGGCCCGAGGCGCCGCAGGTGGCAGCGGCGGCAGAGCAGGTGCCCCTCCAGGGGGTAGCAGCGGCGTCCATCCTCCCCGCTCAGCTGCAGCCCGCAGTCCTGCGGAAGAAAGCACAACCAGAACCCCAGTAAGCGAGGGCACGGCATCCTAACCCAGACCTGAGCGGGTGGGTAAGATTTGCAGGCCTCCACAGCAAGGGGGAAGCAGGTGTGTATACACACACACACACACACAGAGCAAGGGGGAAGCGGGTGTACACACACGCACACACAGAGCAAGGGGGAAGCAGGTGTATGCACGCACACACACACACAGAGCAAGGGGGAAGCAGGTGTGTGTACACACACACACACACACACACGCATAAAAAAAAACATGCAGGGCCATGCAGGGCATGGTGGCGCACCCCTTTAATCCCAGCACTCTCCGGAGGCAGAGGCAGGCAGATGGCTGTGAGATCAAAGTCAAATCTGGGATGGTCTAAAAAAGGAGTTCCAGGCCACCTGGGCTACATAATGAAACTGTCTAAAAAACATTAAACACATACATACACATACACATACACACACACACACACACACACACACAATTTATATTGCCAACAGCCAGGTCTGGTGGCCATACCAGTAATCCCAGCATTCTGGAAGTAGAGGCAGAAGGATAACGGCTACATAGTATGACTATATGTCAAATACATATGTCAAAAGAACAACAACAAAAAAAAAAAAACCTGCACAGATCTATCTGAGTATGGTAGCACACAACTATAATCCCAGCACTCAGGAGGCTAAACTAGGAGACTGGGTTTGAGGCCAGTCTGGCTATCAAGAAAAAAAAAAAATCCAAAGCCTGGGGACGTAGCTCAGCAGTAGAGTCCTGGTATAACATGCACAAGGCTCGGTGTCCCCGTACACACCCCTCTTGGAGCCCCTCCTTTGATCCCGACTTCAGGCTGCCTCTGGTTTTACCCTGTCAGAGTAACAGAACCAGATTCCACTCCCACCTCTGACCAGGAACCAGACAGGCTAAGCTGTACATACTGATTCTCAGAGCCTGCGGGACAGTCAAGGCAGGTGTGCTAGTAGCAATGACTGGCACCTTCACACAACCTAGAATCACCTGAAGAGATTCTCAACTGATTAACTCTTTATTAGCTTGTTCTGTGGGTGTGTCTGTGGAGGACTGCCTTCACTGTTCATTGAAGCACAAGGGCCCGGCCCACTGTGGGCAGCACCATCCTGTGGTAAGTCGTCCTGGGCTATGTAAGAAAGCTACCTGAGCATTGAGCCTGAGCGGGCCAGCAAGAGGTGGTCTTCCATGGTTCCTGCCTGGAGTTCCTGCCCTGACTTCCCTCCATGATGGACTCTGACCTAAGTGGAAGCCAAATAAACCCTTTCCTCCCCTAGTTACTTTTGGTCATGGCGTTTGTCAGAGCAACAGAAAGCAAACTAGAACAGCAGGTCACTGATTCCTGAGAAAAGGCAGCCAGTCAGATGAGCCCTACAACTGCCCACCTCTCAGCTGCCCAAAGCCCAGCAGTTTCCTTGAGGTGAGTCAGAGTCTGGGGAAGGCAAGGAGAGCAGAATCTACAGGACCAGGCAGAGGAGAGGGCCTGTCTAAAAGAAGTAGTAAGGCCGGGCATGGTGGCGCACACCTTTAATCCCAACACTTGGGAGGCAGAGGCAGGCGGATCTCTGTGAGTTCAAGGCCACCCTGGTCTACATAGTGAGTTCCAGGCCAGTTGGGCTACAGGGAGACCCTGTCTCAAAAAGACCAAAAAAAAAAAAAAAAAAAATCACAGACACACAGACACACACACCTTTGTACTTAAGCACACTCTTTATTGACTCAAAATGCCCTTCTTACTGCCTGTTTGGCTAACTCTTATTTGTCCTTCAAATCTTAGCTTGTGTGTCACCTCTTCCAGAAAACCTTCATTTTCCAAGGATCTGACAAGTCACTTCAACAGCACACATCCCCTTATATGACTACTGCCAGCCCACATCCCCGTCTACCCTGCTTTTATAACCCCAACACCCCACACAGTGAAAACAGTGATTATGTGAGAGAGAAATGGGCTGAGAGCATGTGTCCACAAGAAAGGAGGGCTCACTAGGGGAGATGGAAGGACAGAACTCAAGTCATGAAAGAGGAGGTGGGCCCAGGAATGGACACCCAGGGCGAAGGAACCTGCAGGGGAGGAGCTGCCCAGTCAGCAGCAGAGGGCCAGCGCTCACCTCACAGTGGTAACATTCCACATGGTAGTCTCTGTCCATGGACACCACACGAATGGTTGTCTCACAGCCCTGAAGAAAGAGGCAGGATTCACACACAAGCCCCCTGGAACTGGAGAATGTGACTGGACAGTCAGAGCACTCCTTTCCGCCACATGCTCTTGACACAGCGGATGCACATGGACATGGTATTTCAGCAGATACCCACACATGTATGTGCGTGTGCCCGGAGCATCCTGATGTGACCATAAGAGGGTTCACATGAATGTCAGTGCATGCATGCCATTTTCAGTTCTCCAGGGCCAGGACACTCACTGCCAGCTGTTTCCTCAGGAAGCAGCCTTGGATAGACACGGTTCACCAGACTGAGTGCTGAAAGGCCAAAGCCTTTGTCTGCTCCTCCAGCCCGGGCCACTCAACCTCACTGCAGAGCTGAGTAAGCCCAGTGAGCAGTCCTTCCTCCACAGGGAATGGAGCAGATGGCAACAATGGGTCTCCATACAGGAGGGGCTGCCACTTCCCTGGAGTTTACCCTAGGAACAGCTGCCCCCACCCCTGCGTGCTGTGCCCTCCATATCCCACAACCCTGAGGAATACAGAGTGAGGCCACCTCTCATCCCTCCCACTGTGGCCCAGGATCTGAGGCAGAGCAGCAGGAGCAGGCAGAACCTTGAAGCCAAGCACCTGCTACCTCCAGGTGAGTCGTTCCTACCTGTGCAGGGAGGATGGGGCGGGCACAGGAGGCACATTTGGGTGCAAACACCCTGGAAGAACAAAGGGAAGCAGGTGTGAGCAGCTGAGGGAGCAGGGCAGAGGGCACCAGGCCAGGCCTCCACAGAGCTCAAGGTCAGGCTCAAGCAGGAGGCCCTCCCTCCTGTGGACACCCAGGAGGGCGCAGCTTGTGGCTCTTGTTTCTGGCACTTGATGCACCTCCAGGTTCACCTCCTCCCTCCCGCCTCCTCTGGGATGGCTTCAGACTCTCTCCAGCCATCTCCTATGCATTTCCTTAGTTTCCAGGCTGGAGCCATCCTTAGCTGAGACCTCTGCGCCACCCTGAGTACCAGGGACAAATGCTGACACTAATCTCAAAAAGCAGCAGCCCAGGCCCAGAACCCCGAAGCCTGAGCCTGGAGCCACGGTAGGGGAATGAAACAGTTCCCTCTGTAGCCCAGAGCTCCTCCCCTGGGAAGGGCTAGCTGGAAGGGAGCAATCAGAAGAGGCCCCATGGGAGGAAGAGTGTGCACACGAGCCAAGGCAGAGAGAGGCATGAGTGGCTGGGAGCTAAACTGCCCACAAGCGATGATCAGAAAGCACAAGTAAGCCTTGCCCGGCTCTCACAACTTGAGTGTAAAATGTCCCCCAGGCTCATGTTTGAACACTTGTTCCCCAGACGGTACAGCTCTTTGGGGAGGCTGTGGAACCTTTCTGAGGTAGGACGGAGCTGGTGGAAGTGGATCACTAGAGAGTCTTAGTGATTATAGCTCAGCACAGGTTCCTTCCTAATGTCTCTTCTTTCTGGTCCACCAAGATGTAAGGTGTCCCATCTTCCGCCTCCCATCACCAAAGCCCAAAGCTGCCCCAACACCACGCTTTCAGCACCTGGCCTTGCCCATCATGGTGGACTGCCTGTACCTTCTGAAGGTGGGCACAAATGGCCCTCTCCTCCCTGTCGTCGTTCTGTTCAGGCCTCTATCACAGCAACGGGGAAAGTCACTAATACACCCACCCCAGGATGGGAAAAGACCAGGAACCAGAGAAGCAGAGACAGGCAAGAAACGCTCCGAGGGCCACTGCGCCGCTCTCAGGCAACTCACGTGTGGTAGTCTCTGACACAGTAGATGTTGTTCTCCACATCCACAGTGAAGGGTACCCCATCCAGACACTCATTGCACACAGAGCAGCGAAAGCAGCCGGGGTGGTAGGACTTGCCAAGGGCCTGCAGGATCTGGGGGGAGGCACTGAAGGGTCAGCACAGGCGGGAGACTCAGCACTGTCCCTCAGAGGCTCCGGCTCAGGGCATCCCATGGTCTAGAACAGGTGAGGGCAGGGTCCTCAGGCCCCACCCAGGTTGGGGGGGGGCTCCAGGAGGCTGGGGAGGGTCTCACCATCTCCATGATGAGGTGTCCACACACGCTACACTTGTCAGCTGTTTGCTGGAACCCGGAGTACTGGGAGGGGACACAGGATCCAGGACGTCACGTGACAAAGGGGCACTCACTGCCTGCTGGCCTCAGGTCTGCTTGAGTCCGAAGGAGGATCCCGCCCCTGCTCCCACCCATGGCTTGGCTAGCGACGCAGTGTGGACTCACCAGGAAGTCCTCCTGGCAGTACACCTTCTCGCCCACGTTATAGAAGGCCTTCCCACGGAGTCGTCTCCCTGTAAGGAGGGGATGAAGAGGAAGGCCCTGGAATTCTGGGATCAGGGATGGAGCCTGCCTGGCACCTCTCAGTAGTCTTTCCCAGCAGATGAGAGGATCAACCATGGATGTATTTTTAAACATCCCTTGAACACTATGTTGCTCTTATGAATATTTCAAGTCACACCTGTAACCCCAGCACTCCAGAGGCAAAGGTAAGAGGATCCCCAAGTTTTAGGCCAGCCTGGGCTACAAAGTAATACCTACCACCAAAATTTTTTTTTTTTTGGTCTTTTTTGAGACAGGGTCTCCCTGTAGCCCCAGCTGTCCTGGAACTCACTATGTAGACCAGGTTGGCCTCGAACTCACAGAGATCCACCTGACTCTGCCTCCCAGGTGCTGGGATTAAAGGTGTGCACCACCATGCCCCACATAACTTTATTTTTATGTGTATAAATATTATGCTTGCATGTATGTAAGTACACCCATGTCATGCAATACCCAGAGAGGCCAGAAGAGGGCATCAGATCCCCTCAAACTGCAGTTACAGTTATTAGAAACCATATGGGTGCTGGGATTCAAACCTGGGTCTTCTTCAAGAGCAGCTAGTGCTCTTTATATATATTTTTTATGTGTATGAGTACATTGCCTACATGTGAGTGCATCTGTGCCGTGCAATGCCATGGAGGTCCCCAAAACTGGAGTTTAGATGGTTTGTAGCCACCATGTGGGTGCTGGGAATTGAACCCGGGTCCTCTGCAAGAGCAGTCAGTGCTCTTAACCGCTGAGCCATCTCTTCAGCCCCAGAACAACTCTTCTTTATCCATGAACAGAAGTACAAGTTTCACTACGAACATCAAAAGTACAACTCTTTCACCTACTAGGAAAGATGGCTCAGCAGTTAACAGCACTGGCTGCTCTTGCAGAGGACCCAGGTTTGGTTCCCAGCACCAACATGGCAGGTAACAACTGTCTGTAACTCCAGTTCCAGAGGATCTGATGTCCTCTTCTTGCCTCCATGGGCACTGAACCCATGTGGTGCACTTAAATACATGCAGGAAATATATACATAAAATAAAACTAAATAAAAAAAAATTAAAGAAAACCTAAGCTACAGCAGACCTGGCATCCTCATCAGTCTGAAGGTGACACTACTAACAAGAAGGAACCTCAACCTGATGAACAGAACTGGTGTGAAATGCACAGCTACTACGTAAAGATGTTCATGAAATAGTGAACCATCTACCTCTTTATTTGTCTTGTGGCTTGGTAAGGAAGTCCACACCTGTAATCCCTGAACTCAGGAGGCAGAGGCAGGAGTTCAGGGTCACCTGAGTTATACAGCAAGACCCTATCTCAAAAAGCCAAGAACTACAATAAAGAAAAAGAAAAGCTGGGTATGGTGGTGCATGCCTTTAATCCCAGCTCTTGGGAGGCAGATCCTCTGTTGAGTTTGAGTCCAGCCTGGTCTACAGAATGAGTTCCACGCACCTGGGGCTACAGGGAGACCCTGTCCCAAAAATCAAAAAAAAAAACCAAAAACCAAAAAACAACAACCACCAGGGGTCTGGAGAGATGGCTCAGCAGTTAAGAACACTGGCTGCTCTTGCAGAGGACCCAGGTTCAATTTCTGGCACCCATATGGCAGCTAACAACCATTCTTAACTCCAGTTCCAGGGGATCTGATGACCTTTTCTGACCTCTGTGGGCACTGCACAACATACGTGCACTTACATATATGCATGTAATACATTCATACACATAAAATAAAAACAATAAATAAAATTCAAAAAAAAAAAAACTTTGAGAGAACTCAAAAGACCCTGGCACAGACACCACAGTGAGAAGCCAATTCCCCATCCTATCTCAGATATCTTATGGGCAGAGGCTGAGTGTGCTCATCCTGGATTCTCTTTTCAAGAATGCTTGCAGACTGAACGCCTTGAAAGAGAGATCATCTCCCTCAGAGGAAGTGGTAGGTTTGTTTACTGTTCAGTATCACAAAGATAAGTTCCTCAGGGACAAAGGTCAGGAAGCTGTGGTGACAGCCTTTTATAAAATGTTGGGATCACCCCCCCTCGTTTGGTGGGCATGCCTGCAGGTCCACCTTCTCAGGAGGCTAAGGCAGGATTGCTGAAGCCAAGGAGTCTGAGGTCATCGTAGGCAACCCGTGAGTCTGCACCTCTGGTCAGCATCATGGAAAGTACTGTACTCATTTTCTTTGCTTTTTTTTTAAAACAGGGTCTCCCTATAGCCTCAGCTAGAACTTGCTATATAGACCAGGCTGGCCTCAAACTCACAAAGATCCCCCTGCCTCTGCCTCCCAAGTGCTGGGACTAAAGGCGTGCACCACCAGGCCCGGCTATTGTACTCATTTTCAAATGATATGGATGCAATCTCCGCCATCTTTTTATTTTTTGTTAGAAATCAATAGGCCAATTCTAAAACTTATATAAAATGTGTATACAAGGCCGGACATGGTGGCGCACGCCTGTAGTCCCAGCACTTGTGAGGCAGAAGCAGGCAGATCTCTGAGTTCAAGGCCAGCCTGGTCTACAGTGAGTTCCAGGCCAGTTGGGGCTACAGGGAGACCCTGTCTCAAAAAGACAAAAAAAAAAAGTGTATACAGAAAATGAAAAGGGGTGCTGGGAAGACAGTTCAGCCCATACTACCTACCGGTCATGCAAGCATGCAGACCTGAGTTCAATCCCCAGCACCCACATAAAAAGCCAGGTGGCACACTTGCAGTCCCCATGCTGGCATGTTGGGGAGGAGATGCAGGAGAATCTCTGGAATTTGATGGCCAGCCAGCCAGGCTAGCCTAATTGGTGGTCCTCAGGTTCCAGAGAGAGACCCTATCTCAATTATTTTTATTTTAGGTGTAGGAGTGTTTTGCCAGCATGTATTTAAGTACATCTGTGTCATGCAATGCCCAAGGAGGCCAGAAGAGGGCATCGGATCACCTGGAACCAATGGCTGTCAGCCATCATGTGGGTACTGGGAACTGAACCTGGGTCCTCTGCAAGAGCAGCCAATGCTGCTCTTAACCTCTAAGCCTTCCCTCCAGCCTCCATACTGAGAAACAAGAAAAGAAAAAAAGAAAAAAGAGGTGGATGGCTCCTGAGGACCAACATCTAAGGCTGACCTGTGGCTTCCACACTCATGTGGGTATACACACTCACACACACACAAACAATATGAACTTGTTATCAATCTAAACATGAAAGTGAACAGACTAAACAGAGTGTAGTGACTCACGCCTGTAATTCCATCACTTGTGAACCTAAAACAGGAGGATCACTTCAAGTTTTAGGTCAGTCTGGGCAATATAGGAAGTCCATGGCTCAAAAAAATTAAAAATAAATCAGAGAAAAACATGCTAGCAACTTAGGAGCTGCAGATATAGCTCAGGTGGTAGAGTGCTTGCCTAGCATGCACCAAGCCCTGGGCTCAATCCCCAGCTTTGCATAAAACAAGGAGAGCCGGCACCCACTGGCTCTCCCACTGGGGGTGATCCAGCACTGGGAGCAGAGGACAGAGGATCAGAAGCTCAAAGACAACTCAGGACAGAGCAGGTTTGAAGCCAGCATTGGCTTTGACAGACTGTGCCTCGAAAGAGGAAGGAGAGAGGGAGGGAGAAAGGAAAGGAGGGAGGGTGTGTGGGTTAACAACCTGAAGTTTCTAGAAAAAAATATGACAGTATCTTGTGACTAAAGAATTCTTAAAGTCACAGAAAGCGGGCTTACTAGGCGTGCACCTTCCCAGCACTTGGGAGGCAGAGGCAGGCAGATCTCGGTGAGTTCAAGGTTAGCCTGGTTTACATACAGTTCCAGGCCTGCTGGGGCTACAGGGAGACCTTGTCTCAAAAAAAAAAAAAAAAAGAAAGAAAGCAGGCTTGGGATACAGCTCAGTGATGGGGTACTTACCTATTGTATAATTCAACCTCTAGTACAGCAATAATAATGTTTATAATTATCATTGTTATCATTATAATAAACCATAGCCAGCAGTTATCATTAATACAAAACTGACAAATTTGGCATAGCCAAAATTTTAAATTTCTCAGCTGGACTGGTGGTGCACACCTTTATTCCCAGTGCTTGGGAGGCAGAGGCAGGTGGAGTTCTAGGCCAGCCTGGTCTAAATAGTGAGTTCCAGGCCAGCTGGGGGTACAGGGAGACCCTGTCTCAAAAAGAACCCCCCCAAAAGAAGTTATGTTAATGGCCCAAAAGTAAACAATAAGATGCTCATTGGAGAAATGCATATTATAGCCATAGTGAAATACCATCCGTTAGAATGGTTATTTAGAAAGACCACAGTGCCAATTATTGGCAAATGTAGAACAGCTCAACTCTTACATTTCTAAGGGACTGTAAAATGGTACAACCCCTCTGGAAAACAATTTGGCAAGTCTCTTACAAAGTTAAACATACACTTACCCTATGACCCAGAAATTCCACTCCTTGGAATTTACTCAAGAGAAATGAAAACATATGTGTACAAAGTGAACTCTACAAGAATGTTCACAGCACAATCTAGCCTCTATCAACAATTAAATGGAGAAACAAACTGTGGTCTGTTCATACAATGCATTGCTGTTCAGCAATAAGAAGGGGTAAGCTACTGATATATGCAACACGGATTTAAAGGGAAAAAAAAAGAATCACCATTATGAGAGAAGTTGCCCTAAAGATAACCCCAAATCCAAGGGCAACTCAGCAGAGCTAATCACCGCCTGAGCTACTAGGGCAGCCCCAGCCTGAAGGAGTCCTATCTCAGCCCCAGTTGATTGAATAAACAGTCTTGGAGTTGAAGCCTCAACAGCTTCCCATTTATCTGCAGCTAAAAGCTTCCAAGAAATAGCAGATTCAATCTGGAAACTAGGCACCAGAAGGCAAGGAAGTAAAGACCCAGAGGGCAGAAAGCGCAGGCTGACCAGGGCTTCTGGTGGGAATTCAGAGGAAGCCCGATATGCTACAAGAGAAAAAAAATACTGGCCGGGCGTGGTAGGGCACACTTTTAATCCCATCACTCTGGAGGCAGAGGCAGGTGGATCTCTGTGAGTTCAAGGCCAGCCTGGTCTACATAGTGAGTTCCAGGCCAGCTGGGGGCTACAGGGAGACCCTGCCTCAAAAAGACCAGGGTGTCGCGGGGGAACCAAGTCCTTTTTTGACTTCTTAAACACTGGTGCCAAAGTTGTGTGTGTGTGTGTGTGCACATGTGTACATGCTTGTGGAGACCAGAGGTCTAGTCACATGTCTTTCTCAATTGCTCTCTACCTTATTTTTTGAGACACAGTCTCTCAATGAACCTACAATCTATAGATTTAAATAGACTGGCTGGCTGGTCAGCAAGCCCCTGGGATCCTCCCATCTGTCTCCCCAGCACTGGGGTTACAGGCCCAGGCCTCTGGATGAAGGGGCTTGATTGAACTCAAGATCCCACGCCTGTGCAACAATCATGTCACTGACTGAGCCATCACTCCAGACCTGGAAGAAATATTTTAAAAAGATAATCCCTATGGGGCTGGAGAGATGGCTCAGTGGTTAAGAGCACTGACTGCTCTTGCAGAAGACCCAGGTTCGAATCCCAGCACCCACATGGCAGCTAACAACTGTCCGTAACTCCAGTTCCAGGGGAATGCGACAGCCTCTCTGTCTTCCACGGGCATTGCATGACACGGGTGCACTTACCTACATGCAGGCAATACACGGATACACATAAAAATAAATATTTTTTTTTAAAAAGTGTGCCAATGAGATGGCTCAGGGGGTAAAGGCACTTGGCCACACAAGCCCAAAGATCTGAGTTCAATCCCCAGGAAGCTGTAAAGGTGGAAGGAGAAAACCAACTCTACAAAGGTATCCTCTGACCTCCACTGCGCATCATGATGGGTGCCTGCTCACACACCAGGCACACACCCACAACAATAATAAAAGTGTTAATTAAAAGACTATAGAAATGGGGAAATTAGTCACAGTGTGCAGTGTCCAGTGAACAATACTTACATAGTGGTAATAAACTTGGAGCATTGACTTAACCAAGTGATGGGAGAATGTGAGGTGTAAGAGACATTCTTCATTTCATGGTAAAAGCAAGTAACTGGGTCTAAAACTGACACCTCAAGAAAGAATAGAACACACGCAGAGACACAGAGGTGTCTGGTTGCTTTGGAGACAGGGTCACCCTATGTTCCAGGCTGGCCTTGAACTCTGCCCTGCCTCAGTCTCCCAAGTGCCAGGATGGCAGGCACCGTGCCCAAGTCTAAGTGGTTCTCTGTTCTTGCAGAAATAGCTTCTCAGTTATGTTCCAGGCTGGCCTTGAACTCTGCCCTGCCTTAGTCTCCCAAGTGCCAGGATGGCAGGCACAAACCACCGTGCCCAAGTCTAAGTGGTTCTCTGTTCTTGCAGAAATAGCTTCTCAGAACTATTTTGACTTAACACTATGCATTACACTGTGATAAAATAAAATATCAAAATATTTCATACAAATAAAATGTCTGCTTGGAGGCAAATTCTGTAAAAAAAAAAGAGTGCAGATTTATTACAGTGATTAGATTACTTGCTTTTCTTCTTTTTATAACTTCGTCTAACTTAAAGTATGACGTTTATTATGTATTTGTTTTCCTTTTTTTTTGTGGTGCTGGGAATGGAACCTAGGACCTCCTGAATGCCAGGCAATCTCTATCACTGAGCCATATTCCCAGGCCTTGTTTTTGTTTGAGACAGGACTTTGCTATATAGCAACTTAGACTTGGCTGGCCTGGAGCCTTTTTTAATGCATATTAGTGTTTTTCCTGAATGTATGTTGAGCATACCCACGTCAGGGCTGGAGAGATGACTTAGTGGTTAAGAGTGCTGACTGCTCTTGCAGAAGACCCGGGTTCAAATCCCAGCACCCACATGGCAGCCAACAGCCATTCATAACTCTAGTTCCAGGGGATCCGACACCTCTTCTGACCTCTGTGGGCACTGCATGACACAGGTGCACTTATATACGTGCAGGCAGTACAAGAACTACACATAAAATAAAAATAATAAAAATATTTGAAAAAAAATGTTTTAAATATTTTATCGTTTTTATTTTATGTGTATGCGTGTATTGCCTGCATGTAGGTAAGTGCACCCGTGTCCTGCAATGCCCACGGAGGACAGAAGAGGCTGTCAGATCCCCTGGGACTGCAGTTATGGACAGTTGTTAGCTGCCATGTGGGTGTTGGGATTTGAACCTGGGTCTTCTGCAAGAACACTCAGTGTTCTTGACCACTGAGCCATCTCTCCAGCCCCCACCCCACAAATATTTTTATAGTACATCCATGTCATGTAATGTCCACAAAAGCCAGAAGAGGGCATCACATCCCCTAGAACTTGAGTTACAGGTAGTTGTTAGCTACCATGTAGGTGCTGGGAACTGAACTCAGGTCCTCTGCAAGAGCAGCCACTGCTCTTAACTGCTGAGCCACCTCCCCAGTCCCCGACCTAGAACTTGGAATCCTTTTGCCCCGGCATCCCAAGTGTTGGCATTACATGTGTGAACTACCATACCTGGCAACATGTATGGTTTAGAATGTGTGCAACACAGGAACAGTTAAAAGAAATATTAATCCCATGTCCAGATTGATACAAGTCCCCCCTCACTCCACAACCCATCCCTCCTAGGCAGATACCAGTACCCTGAGTGGATGAAGGCACTACAGTTAGCCCCTGAGGGTGAGCCTTCCCTATGGCCTGCAGAAGATCCCTTGAGGGATTTCATGGCTAACCTCCTCAGGTCCTAGGAGCTCTCTCAGGGGCCTGGGCTTCCCACACAGGTCAGGTCCAGGGAAGAAGGGGGCACAAGCCACCTTCATGGGGAGACTGTAGTCAGCCAGTCCCCTCATACCCCTGAGCTGACTGGTCCCTTTGCCTGAAACTTAGCAGCAAGGGGGGTGAAAGGGGCCAGGGAGGTGGTTACCTACCACAGGAGTCACAGATGAAACAGTCGGTGTGATACAGGCTCCCCATGGCCTGGCACGCCTGCCTCGCTCCGTAGATGCCAAGCCCACACTTGATGCAGATGCCTGTGAGGGAGGATGGGAGAGCAGCAGCTGGCACCAGCACCTCCTGGTCTAATGCCGCCCACCCATCTGATCCTGGGCAAGTTAATTTTCCCAGGCCTCCAGGTTTCCAGTGACTAACAGGGGGTTAATAAGGGTATTGTTATGGGTTAAATGTGGAATGTCCCCCACAGGCTCCTGTTCTTAGCACCAGTCTGGCGGCACTCTTTTGGAAAGTTATGGAAACCTTGGGATATAGTGACTAGCTGGTGGACGCCCACTAGGGGCAGGTATTGAAGATGGGAGTCCAGCCCTGCTTCTGACCCAAACATTGTGCTTCCTTTCTGCTGAGATGTGAGGAGCTGCCACCTCACACTCCTGTCACTATAAACAAAGTAGCAGCAGCAGCCACCAAGCTCTCCTCGACACGATGCAGAGTATGAAATCACAAGGCAAAGTAAGTCCTCCCATAAGAGGCTTCTGCCGGGTATCTGGTCACAGCAACTAGAAAAGTAACAAACACAGGCACCACTCAGGGTCAGTTACTGCTGTCTGAGGATTCAAGAAACTTCATGGAGCACCTGGTACAGCCAGAGCCTGACAGGCCGACCTTCATCTAATGCATCTAGACCTAGAAACATCATTTTACACCCCTCCATAATCAGACCAAGGGAAAAAAATTCTTTTTTGCTGTCTATGAAAAAAATATTACTATTTAAAATCAAATATGTACTTTCTGACCCCAACACAAAGAACAAAATTCACTCTCGGGTTGTCATGGCCCCTCCCCAGGTGACTGTTTCCCCATTAGGTACAAGGTTCAAATATTCCCTTGTTCATTCAGCACAGACATGAGTACCTGCCTTCTGGTACTGCAGTGCAGCAAAGTCCCACCCCCCCCAAGGAGCATGTATTCCAGAGGAGGAATACACAGCAGCGGTTACATAATGACAGGTGAGCAGCATACAGTGAGGCACGCCTTTAACTCAGGAGACTGAGGCAGGAGGATAGATGACAGCAGTTAAGAGCACTGGCTGCTCTTGCAGAGGACCCAGATTCAGTTCCAAGCAGCTCACAACCACCTGTAACTCCAGCTCAAGTCCAAATGCCCTCTTCTGGCCCCTGCATGCACCTGCACACATGTGATGTATATAAGACAAGCAGATGCGCATGTGCACACACACACACAATTTTTTGTTGTTCTTTATGAGACAGGGTCTCCCTGTAGCCCCAGCTGGCCTTGAACTCACAGAGATCCACCTGCCTCTGCCTCCCAAGTATTGGGATTAAAGTCGTGTGCCACCATGCCCAGCTTGTGACTATTTTTTTTAATCAAAAAAAATTATTAAAAAAAAAAAAGAACTAATCTATGGCAGCTGGGCATGGTGGCACATGCCTGTAGTCCCAGTACTTGGGAGGCAAGTCAGATACAGTGGGCTTGAAGCCAGTTTAGGTTACACAAGACCCTGAATAAAAGCAAAACAAAAATTAAAGCTAGAGGGATGGGTATGTTGGTACACGCCTGTAATCCAGGCACTTGGGGAGGATAAAGGAAGAGCATCTCGGGTTCAAGGTCAGCAACTTCCAAGATAGAACAGGCAGCATAACAAGACAGCCTGAGAAAAACAAATAAATCTAGGAGCTGGGGCTTTAGTTCCACGGGAGACTGCATGCCTAGCAAGTAGAAAGCCCTCTCCCCTCAAAAAAAGAATGTCTTCGGGGTATATGATCTTTACAGGATGCACAGGGAAGGACCCTCTGGAAAGGTAGTGTTCATATCAAGAACTGAAGGAAGGGAAGTATGAGAGCTCCTGTGCAGGGATCTGGGAATACTGGATGGAACTGGGGACCCCAGCAGGCCAGGTAAGGATGAGAAAGAAGAGAGCTGACTGTTAGGAGGATGCCTGGCTCTGAACTTAGGGCACTCTGAGACCAGCCCTCCAGGAGACCCCAAACACAGGACCTTCACAGTTACCCATGGTCCCCCAGTCCCCACAGGGGACGCAGATGGTGCCCACCTCCCACTGCCCTCTGAACCCTAAGTCTTCTGGCTGCTCCAAGACACACTCTCCCTCCCAAAACAGGCTGAGCATCCCTTATCTGAAATGCTTGGAAATGCAAGTGTTTCAGATTTTGGAATATTTGTTGTTATTGGTTTTTTTTTTTTCTTCTGGATTCCAAAATATTTACATAGAATTTAAACACCCTGAATCCAAAATGGTCCAAAATCTGAAAGTTTTTGAGTGTTATAATGACATTCAATGAAGTTTTGGATTTCTGGGCTGGGAATAAAAATCTGGTAGAGCACTTGCCCAGACTGTATAAGGCCCTAGGTTCACTCCCCAGTATCCAGGAGCAGGGAGGAAGAAGGAAAGAGACCAATTGGAAGATTCCCACAGGTAGCTGTGGCTTTGCTGGGTCTCCCTGGGCAGTCCAATCCCACCCAATCTCTCTTTACTCACGCTGCTCTGGCTCTCCTGCTCTAGCCCAGACTTTCCTGACTGCTTGCTGATCCACCTCCCAGGGGACCCCAGACACCCCACATCCAGGGGGAGCTCCAGATGTACCCCTCAAACTGTTCTAGGCTTCCGTTTCCTCACAGGAAATAGTATTTGTGTGCCCAGATCCCAGGTGTTCCTTTCTCACTGACCTACAACCCAACAACGACATACCTACTAACATCTTTTCTATTTAAAAAAAAAAAAAAGGTTTTTTTTGTCTTTTTGAGACAGGGTCTCCCTGTAGCCCCAGCTGTCCTGGAACTCACTATGTAGACCAGGCTTCCAGGCTGTCTTGAACACACAGAGATGCGCCTGCCTCTGCCTCCTGACTGCTGGGATTAAAGGCGTGAGCCACCACACCCGGCCTTACATTATTTTTTATTATTACATTTATTTACTCTGTGTGCTTGCGCATGTACTTGTGCATACATGCCACTATACACATGTGGAGGTCAGAGGGCAACTCTCAGGAGTCTGTTTCCTCTCTTCCTTGATCATGTGGGTCCCAAGGGTTGAACTCAGACCATCAGGCTTGGGCAGCATGCCGCGTCATCTTGCCAGCTCTTTTTTTTCCTCTTTGAGATAGGTGTTTTGGTTTTGGTGTTTTTGAGAGAAGATCTCACTATGAAGCCCTGGCTGGCCTGGAACTCGCTATGTAGACCAGGCTGGCCTTGAATTCTCAGAGATCCACCTGCCTCTGCCTCCCAAGCGCTCGGATTAAAGGATGCACCACCAACCCGGCCTGTTCCTACATCTTGACCACTCCTTTCTCTCACTGGTCTGCTTAAAAATGAGACTAGTGCCAGGCGTGGTGGTGCACGCCTGTAGTCCCAGTGAGTTCCAGGACAGCTGGGGCCACCGGGAGACCCTGCTTCAAAAAAAGACCAAAAAAAAAAAAAAAAAAAAAAATGTGACTAGCAGCCCAGCACAGTGGAGCACACCTTTAATCCCAGCACTCGGGAGGCAGAGGCAGGTGGATCTCTGTGAGTTCGAGGCCAGCCTGGTCTACATAGTGAGTTCCAGGACAGCTGGGGCTACAGGGAGACCCTGTCTCAAAAAGACCAAAATAAAAAAAGAATGTGACTAGCATACTTCTTAGTCCCCAAACACAGCCAGACTCCCTAAGATAAGAGATTCTCCATCAGCTTGGAGAATCTGACCTTCTCATCTCCATGATTAAGTAATTGCAATCAACGTGAAAGAGGGCTTGGGGATGTAGCTCAGTTGGTAGAGTGCTTGTCTAGTATGCATGAAGCCCTAGGTTCAATCCCCAGCACTGCATAAAATTGGGTATGGTGGGCCACACCTGTAATCCCAGGACTCAGGAAGTGGAGGCAGGAGAATCATAAATTCAAAGTTACTGGTCATCCTACCTAGGGAGTTCAAGGTCAGCCAGTGCTACATGAAAACCCTGTCAAAACAGGAAAACTGAAAGGCCAACAGACCTGGTGTATGCCTGAACTCCCGCACTCAAACAACAGAGGCAGGGGGATCATGCAAGGTTCGAGACCAGCTTGATCTACACTGTGATGTCCATGCCAGCCAAGGCTACAATAACAAGGGTAGACAGGTAAGGGGGAAGCTTCTATCCACCTGCATTAACTTCTGGGTTGTACTTTATTTTTCTCTAAACATGTACCTGGACTGCTTTAATAAAACTACACCAAGGAATGGCCAGATGTGGTGGTGCACATCTGTAATCTCATCATTCAGGAAGCTGAGGCAGGAAGATCATGAGTTCTAGACCAGTTTGAATTACAGAATGAGATGCTGCCTCAAAAAAAAAAGTGAGCCTGCAGCATGAGACACTTCAGAAATTAAAAGGGAGGGAGGGAG